AGGTGAACACAGCGTCAATACCCGTAGCACCTAGGACCAAGCTGTCATGACTAGAGGCCGCTAATTTCCACGATCGGAGATGGCCAAGCCCAGCAGTAATCGAATACGGTGGTTGTTAGCGCGTTGCAGGGTGGCAAGATGGTGCAATTGCACCATCTTGCCACCTTGTCTAGATTATGGACATCATACATTTCTGATTGCAGATTTATGCGCCCGAATTTCCTAGGTGGAACAAACCAGCGACAGTTCAGGCGTAGGTTACACAAACACCCGGCAACAAAACAAATAATCGGTGGGAATCACAAACAATTGTCGCTGAACATGCTAGGGGCAGAATGAAGGACACGCCAACAGGTGACAGTGACGCATGACAGGTGCATGACGACTATCGCAAAATACGTTGGTCTCTGCCATTCCGCTAACGCCGTTTCCACCGACGCCTTCTCACACCAAGTTAAAATGACCACTTTGGCGCATGACAGCACGCGACATGTCACAGAAACTGTGGGCGAACCGTATGGTCGGAAAAACCTGCGACGTCGCTTCAGTCCCTCTTCCTCATCCCGACCGCCTTGGAAAAAAACTGTTCCCTTTGGAAAGTCACCTTACTTTACGCAGCCCACACTCGCATCCGGGCCCACCAGCACAGCTCACCAGAACGGCCTCCATCCCCATAAAAAGAACCATGCCCCTTCGTACCACCTCACTCTTCAACTGCCCATTCAGATTCGCATTCAAGTGTACTGACACCACCTTGATCTTCTCAACGCACGCAAACTTGCAAGCAACACACACACACGCACGCACATTGCATGTTATGCACGATGCACGTTGCGCACCAACAACCCTCCAGACAAACTACGCAAGCAACACGGCAACTTGTACAGAAGTCACGGCTCGTAGTTCAGTGTGCTCCTGAGCCAGCGCTGCGCCTCCTTGATGTCCATGCCCTTCCGGCCCGCATAGCTCTCCGCCTGCTCCTGCGTGATCTTGCCCACAGCAAAGTACTCGCTGCAGGAGCCCCCAAAGTACAACCCAGAGACGCTGGCCGCAGGCATCATGGCCAGGGACTCCGTCAGGGAAATGCCGGTCTGCGCCTCCACGTCCATCAGGGACCACATTGTCGACTTCTCAGTGTGATCTGGCTGGGAGGGGTACCCCGGAGCCGGGCGAATGCCCTGAGGGGCCAGCAGCACAGAAAAGTGAGCCGCTGTCTGCTAGTTCTATGGAATGGTAAAGTTTATTACAATCCCAGTGCACCCATTAAAGCGAATTGTTGCATCCAAAAATTGGCCAACCAGCGGTGCATTGCATGGGTAGTGCAAGCTGTGGCACCCGTCTGAGCAGCGCTGTCTTCCTCATGATAGTGTTGGGCCGACATGGCGCAACGATAGCACACTGCCGCGAGGGTGCCTCTTGAGACAACTCAAGAGCCGCCAAACTACGAAATACACGGTGGTACCACAAATGCCCCAATGCGAGGACATGCCGTTGGGCAACACCCAAAAAATGATAGAGATTGCAACAGACACCTCCTTAAACAACATCAACCAGCAATTGCACTGTGCGTGAACTGGCAATGAGCTGGCATCAGCACACCCAATATTGGTTCAATCTGGCGAGACAAACTATAAACGTTCAAATTGTGTCACATTATGGTATCACATCGATGAGAACATGGCAATGTTATCAACATGATACAAATTCAAACAAGTATTGTTGCTATCCATTATGATTGTCACAATCATCAGCAATCGTTTATTGATTACTGTGATCATTGTACTCAGTCACAAAGGGCATTGCTTTTGTCATACAGCTGCAATTTTCTGCCGCCACAAATTACATGAATGCCCACAGCCCACACCCACCTTGTACTTCACCCTCAACAACTCGTCCCGACTGAAGTCCTCCTCTGGTGCATATCCCCAATACGTCTTCCGCACCTAAGATGGGCAGAGTCCCTTTCAATATCCCTTTTGAGAATTTGCGACAGAATTTTCATTCAACGGAGACACATGACACAAGCGCCATACTCTGCAATGTTGGGCGCAAGGGTGGTCCCATTGATTTAACCCACTGCACTGAGGACTGTGAGACTCTGTCTACTCTTACGCTGCGCCAGCATCAGCATTTGGCAGTGACGTGTGACAGGACAACCATAATCTGCAATCATGTGCATGAAGGCCTGCTCAGCCATTCTCTTTGTCACGCTTGGTAGGCAGAAATTTCTTCTTGTGGCTGGAGCTCACAACATGTGTGCGTTGTCTGCAACGCAGTCATTGAAGAATGAATAATGAAGGAATAATGAATGTGATTCAAGATGGGCTAGGAGCCAGGCTATGCAGCAAAGTTCTGTTTTTTCGGTTTTCATTTTTGTGGGGTGGGCACTGGCCACCCCGTCTTCAGGCGTGCATGGAATTGAATATATTGTCTGGACACCACACAGCGCACATCCTGCCAGTAGGGCTCCAATTTCTTTTCCTTTTTGGGTCCTTCGTATTTCCTGTACAAAGTGAACTGGACAAGTGCTCTCGAGCAAAAAAGGCTGGTGGAAACTCTTAAATCATCACCATGCAATGCCAAGGGGAGCGTTTGTCACATGCAACAAAGGTTTCTCCCTCTCCTTCCCACCTCCTCGTGCAGCTTCTCTGCGAATGCCTCTGCCAACCTGTCGGCCAGCGCCTCAGCCATGATGTACGAATAGTCATCATTTGCTTCCTTGTGCTTGGCCACCAGCTCCTCCAGGCCAATGCCTGCAGTGTTGACGAACATCCCCAGGTAGTCAGCCACCCCCGAGTCCTTGGGCGCCACAAAGTCGCTGAGGCAGCAGTAGGCCTTCGCGCCATCACGCTCAGCCTGCTGCCGTAGGCCGAAGAACTTGGCAGCAACAGTGGTGCGGCTGTCGTCAGTGTACACTTCAATGTCGTCGCCAACAGAATTGGCAGGGTACAGGCCCACCATGCCGTTCATTTTCACAAGCTGGCGGTCAACAAAATCCTGCGAGGACAGCAGCAATCAACAAGTCGATTACTCAATGACTAAAGCAATGCGCCACAACTTGACTGAACAGCAAAAGCCATCACACCAGCAGCACTGTGATTGCCAGCAATGTTCACGGGCACCATGGAACATGCTGCATGGCAGCAAAGGTGCCTTGTAGCAGGGCTAGAATTGTCGATGACCATAGTCAGGACGATCGTAGACAAGGATCATCCCTGGCTGTGCACATATATTTTCATCATGGCAACAGACCCATGGCTGAGGCTCTGCAGTTGTCCCATTTAGACATGTTGCACTACTGATCCATGTGACATCCAGCAGTTCAGCATGGTTCAAGGACTGAAACTGACCAAAGATACAGTTGCTTGGCAGTGCAGTCAGGAAGCGCTTCGATTGTGGTGGCATATGTTGTATGCATTGGGTTCTGCCATGGCGGGCTTTCCATGGACACTTGAGCCTTGATGCTGACAGGACACTCCAACAAGGTCGCTGGAGCCATGTGTGCCTCACTGCTCCCCAACAGGCATTGCAGGCGCTGGTCATTCACCTTGAGCATCTCTTGGGCCTCATCAAACAACTTCTTGGCTTCCTCTCCAACTGTCTCATCCTTGAAGATCTTTGGATAGCCCCTGTTAGGGTAGCGGCCCCTGAGCTGCCACACCTGAAAGAAGGGGTTCCAGTCAATGTAGTCCAGTACATCCTTCAGCGGGAAGTCCTTCAGGACCTTTGTGCCCAGCAGGGTGGGTTTCACAGGCTGGTTGTCAGGATGGCTCCAGTCCACCTGTACCTTCTGCTTGCGTGCCTCGTCCAGAGTCAGGTACCTTTGTTGCACGCGTTGGGTGCGTACATTCAGTAGGTGTTCCACAATGTGACATTTCGGCAATCATTATTCTTGGTGGTACAGGTATCAGCCAGCATTCCTTAATGGTCTGTCTTAAACAAGGGAAGCAAAAGTACACCCACATCTATCAGATCCAGTTGATCTTCCAGACATTGACAGCAGCTGATGTCACCCACCAGTGCAAGTCTGTGCTCAGATGACTACCACTGCCATGAAAAGGACTTACGGTGAACTCCTTGTCTTGTAAAAGAACAACAGCATGGTGGCTTTCATACCTGCGATCTTCCAGTCCAGAATAGAACTCCTCTCGCAACTCTCCATACTCTTCCCTGACACTTTCAACAAGCTCATCCCTCCTTTGGGCGTCCACCAACGCCTGGACTACAGGAACACTCCTGCTTGCATCAAGGACGTAAATGGTTGGACCTGCACCAGAGGTGTGAACCCCTCTTGACTGGATTTGACTTCAAAGAAGAAGCAGTGCATCTGCACCACGATGGTTGCGGCAGGCAGCTATGGATTCAAAGGGATTGGTTCCCCGGTTGTTGCCATGTTGGGCACACTCGTTTACACAAAATTCCAACAGAATCAAAAGAAAACAAATGATTGGATATCCATTTACGAGCCAGGAGCTGGGACTGCAAGCATATGGGCGAATGTGTTCCTGCTAAATGTGTCCATCTCAGCAATGGACAAGCACGCAGTAGCAATGGTCGCATCTCAAATTCGACACAACGAAACCTCTCTTTTCCTGCACTTGCGTTAGCTTTCCCATGCTTCACATAGGACTGCAGCAAGAACTGCAGTTGGCAAAATGGCCAGTGGCCAAATGCAGGACAAGATCATTGGCATGTTTGCAAACATCTATGGCCTTGCCTTTCTTGATTGAATATTCCTGAGCCAGTAAATTCTCCTTGGTTGCTCATTGGTACAACCATCTGGCACAAAGAAAGAAAACCAATCTGGTTGTTCACAAATGGAAGCCCGCCCCAAGGCAAGGCTCTTCTGTTGCTGCTTCTGCCATCGTTTAAAATTCAAACTCTGCTCATTGCTCACTTTGTTTTATTTCTGATTACGCTCAAAGGAAGTCTATGCAGCCAGAACTTCAACAGGCAGCATCTGACAGAAGGCCTTCAGCAAGGGGTCCCCAACACAGGAAGACTGGGCACCTTGAACAATGGCCACCATCTACCCACCTGTGCTGGTAAAGTTCCAGACAGTATTATTGCTTGGGAGGTTCTGGCAAGTGATAGACATGATATTCCCAGTGTTGGAACTCCACGCACTCTGGTTGACAATAGCCACATGAAAATGGCAAATGTTCTGCTCACCTGAGTACTGTGGAGCAATCTTCACAGCAGTGTGCACTTTGGACGTTGTGGCACCCCCTATCAGCAATGGTGTTGTCATCTTCCGCTCCTCCATTTTCCTTGCCACAGTCACCATCTCATCCAGTGATGGGGTGATCAGGCCGCTTAGGCCGATGACGTCCGCTTTGACCTCCTGAGCCGTGTCCAAAATCTTCTCCCATGGGGTCATTACCCCCAGGTCGATCACCTTGATTGAAATGATCACAAAAAAATTACTGCCTGGTGCCATCATGCACGTGCAGATGCTGTAAGGAGCACCAATTCACAGCTAGCCAGTGTTCTAGCACCTGTTTTTGTACCAATGCATCGAAAATTCACTCTGTATCGATGTTTCATGTCGATGATTCTGGTTCACACAATGGAATCAATGGGGAGCGTAAATCGGTCACCTTGAAGTTGTTGCAGCCCAGAACCACAGCCACTATATTCTTTCCGATGTCATGCACATCACCCTTCACAGTGGCAATAACCATTATGCCTGCATGACTTTCCCCAACGTCCCCAGAGGAAATTTTCTCCATTTCTATGAATGGTATGAGGTGCGCCACTGCCTTCTTCATCACACGGGCTGACTTGATGACCTGTTCAACAATCGCTTGTGAGCCACCATTGACTGCCATATTAAGAAAAATGTAAACACAACACACACACGCATATACACAACAACCACCATTCGTCTGAGCAAGAATATGTGAGACTATTTTGCATACAATAGATGATGGTGCAGAAATAGAAAAGGAACCTTCGCATGGAACACAGTGCACGTACACAAAATACAGGCACAGAAGCAATTCTCAGAAGCGATATAGTGCTCTCTTGAGCACTTGAGATTCAAACTCATTTTGGTGGGACATGCACATTGGAGATGCCATTCATATGGTTATTTGTGATTTGGGGAAGTTATGCCTCTTCCAGAACATCGGCCAGTTTAGAGACACAGAATGTTACACTTCATTGCGTTGTTGTACTGTGCAGTATTTGAACATTCAGGAACAAGCAGACACGGCAGGCAGACTGCCATTCATCAACTTGAATGCTCAACATGCTGATTGCTCCACTACAAAAGTCTGAGACCAGTCAGTGAGATCCTTATGATCATAAGAATACTGGCACTCTGTTGGTACCACCATTCAGTTGGGACAATTGAAGTGCCATTGCACCTTGTCAACTTGCATGAATGTTGCCTGTACTTAACACAATAAAGGAGCACAATCCAAATCACCTGTGGCAGGAACATCAGGCCAGCGCCAAACTTGTCACCCACAACATTCATGCCGTCCATCAGTGGGCCCTCTATGACCCGGATGGGTTTCGGATACAGGCCACACGTCCGTGCTTCTTCTGTGTCTTCCACAACATAGGTGTCGATACCCTTTACCAAAGCATGTTCAATCCTTGCCTGGACTGACAGCTTCCGCCACGAATCACCCGCCTTCCCAGGACCGCCATCCCCAGCGGAAGCCGAGCCCTTCTTCCTAAGGGCAGTCGGCTTGCTCTTGGGGTCCAGAGTGGCGGCATAGACCAGCAACCTCTCTGTGGCATTGGAACACCTGTTCAACAAAACATCTTCCACGTACTCCAGCAGCTCCTTGTCAATCTTTTCATACACATCGGCCTTGACCTGCGCAGCGTTGACGATGCCCATGTCCATACCAGCATTGCAGGCATGATGGAGAAACGCACTATGGAACGCACGGCGCACAGGTTCGTTTCCCCGGAACGAGAAAGCCACGTTGGAAACGCCACCGCTGATTTTGCATCCTGGGCACAACCTCTTGATCTCCCTTGTGGCCCGAATGAAGTCCACTGCATAGTTGTTGTGCTCAGGCAGGCCCGTCCCAACAGTGAGGATGTTGGGGTCGAATATCACATCCTGGGGGTCGAACCCCACCTCCTCCACCAACATCTTGTATGCCCTACAACAGATCCGAACCTTGTCCTCATACGTGGCTGCCTGCCCCTGCTCATCAAAGGCCATCACCACCACGGCTGCGCCATGTCGTTTCACCAACTTCGCCTGCTCCCTGAACTTCTCCTCTCCCTCTTTCAGGGAGATGGAGTTTACGATGCACTTGCCCTGGCTGCACTTGAGACCGGCTTCCACGATGAAAAATTTGGAGGAATCTATCATAAAGGGTACTCTGCAGGTCTCTGGGTCTGAAACCAACAAGTTCACAAACTTGGTCATCGCGGGAACGCCATCAATGAGCCCGTCATCTACATTGACATCCAGCAGGTCGGCTCCCTGCTCCACCTGTTTCAGACCTATGGCCTGGGCCTTCTCATACTCTCCAGCCACGATGGCCTTCTTAAATGCCATGGACCCAGCCACGTTGCACCTCTCGCCAATATTCAGAAATGTCTTACGCATGTTTTGCTCATCGGGCTTGTAGTTCAGAGGCTCCATGCCACTCAGACGCAGAATGGGATCAACAATGTGTTTTTCCTTTCGTGCGTACTTCTCTGCCATGCTCTTGATGGCCGCAATGTGCGGCGGTGTGGTTCCACAGCAGCCCCCCAGTGCATTCACAATGCCCTGCTCACAGAAGGGACGTAGCTCCTCTGCCATCTCCTCTGGCTTCTGGTCATAACCCCCCATGGCATTGGGAAGCCCAGCATTGGGGTAACAGAACACATAACAGTCTGCGCATGCACTGAGATTGGTCACGTATGGTAGCATATCCGCTGCGCCAAGGGCACAGTTCAGACCCACTGCAAAGGGCTTGGCATGGTTGATGCTGCACCAGAAGGCCTCATTTGTCTGACCACTCAGAGTCCGCCCGGACTGGTCCACGATGGTGCCACTTATCATCACTGGCAGCCTCACTCCCTTGTCCTCAAAAAATTTCTCCAGGGCAAAAATGGCAGCCTTGGAGTTCAATGTGTCAAAAATCGTCTCAACAAGAAACAAATCGACACCTCCATCATAGAGACCCTCGATTTGGTCATAGTAGGAATCCACAATCTCGTCATATGTGATGTTCCTGAATGCAGGATTTTCTACAGAAGGAGATACACTGAGAGTCTTGTTGGTTGGACCCAAAGCTCCCGCAACGAATTTTGGACTTCCTGGATGAGTCCTCATGTACTCCTCAGTGCATGACTTGGCCAACTTCGCAGCCGTTCTGTTGATGAAGAGAACTTCCTCCTTTGCATCAAGGCCATAATCCCCCTGGGAAATGGATGTCCCATTGAACGTGTTGGTCTCAATAATGTCCGCCCCCGCCTCCAGGTACCCCTTGTGGATCTCCGCTATCACGTCTGGCCTGGTTATCACCAGAACGTCATTGTTGCCCTGCAGCTCATGTCCATGGTTCTTGTACCGTTCCCCTCGAAAATCCGCCTCTTGCAGTCTGTACCTTTGAATACATGTGCCCATGGCACCGTCGATGTACGCAATTCGCTCTTGGAAGAGTTGGTCTAACAAATCGAATGTGCCAGTCTTGGGAAGCACGTCTTCGCACAGTGAATAGACAGGAAATGATCGCAGTTCCTTGTCCGGTGCCACCGGATCGACATCTTTGGGAATGGGATTCTCTCGAGGTGGGACAGCTGGGCCTGTGGGCTCTTCAAGTTTTTTCACGGCTGTGGGCTTGCTCTTGGGGTCCAGAGTGGCAGCATAGACCAGCAACCTCTCTGTAGCATTTTCACACCTGTTCAACAGAACGTCCTCCACGAACTCCAGCAGCTCCTTGTCAATCTTTTCATACACATCGGCCTTGACCTGCGCAGCGTTGACGATGCCCATGTCCATACCAGCATTGCAGGCATGATGGAGAAACGCACTATGGAACGCACGGCGCACAGGTTCGTTTCCCCGAAACGAGAAAGCCACGTTGGAAACGCCACCGCTGATTTTGCATCCTGGGCACAACCTCTTGATCTCCCTTGTGGCCCGAATGAAGTCCACTGCATAGTTGTTGTGCTCAGGCAGGCCCGTCCCAACAGTGAGGATGTTGGGGTCGAATATCACATCCTGGGGGTCGAACCCCACCTCCTCCACCAACATCTTGTATGCCCTACAACAGATCCGAACCTTGTCCTCATACGTGGCCGCCTGCCCCTGCTCATCAAAGGCCATCACCACCACGGCTGCGCCATGTCGTTTCACCAACTTCGCCTGCTCCCTGAACTTCTCCTCTCCCTCTTTCAGGGAGATGGAGTTTACGATGCACTTGCCCTGGCTGCACTTGAGACCGGCTTCCACGATGAAAAATTTGGAGGAATCTATCATAAAGGGTACTCTGCAGGTCTCTGGGTCTGAAACCAACAAGTTCACAAACTTGGTCATCGCGGGAACGCCATCAATGAGCCCGTCATCTACATTGACATCCAGCAGGTCGGCTCCCTGCTCCACCTGTTTCAGACCTATGGCCTGGGCCTTCTCATACTCTCCAGCCACGATGGCCTTCTTAAATGCCATGGACCCAGCCACGTTGCACCTCTCGCCAATATTCAGAAATGTCTTACGCATGTTTTGCTCATCGGGCTTGTAGTTCAGAGGCTCCATGCCACTCAGACGCAGAATGGGATCAACAATGTGTTTTTCCTTTCGTGCGTACTTCTCTGCCATGCTCTTGATGGCCGCAATGTGCGGCGGTGTGGTTCCACAGCAGCCCCCCAGTGCATTCACAATGCCCTGCTCACAGAAGGGACGTAGCTCCTCTGCCATCTCCTCTGGCTTCTGGTCATAACCCCCCATGGCATTGGGAAGCCCAGCATTGGGGTAACAGAACACATAACAGTCTGCGCATGCACTGAGATTGGTCACGTATGGTAGCATATCCGCTGCGCCAAGGGCACAGTTCAGACCCACTGCAAAGGGCTTGGCATGGTTGATGCTGCACCAGAAGGCCTCATTTGTCTGACCACTCAGAGTCCGCCCGGACTGGTCCACGATGGTGCCACTTATCATCACTGGCAGCCTCACTCCCTTGTCTTCAAAGAATTTCTCCAGGGCAAAAATGGCAGCCTTGGAGTTCAATGTGTCAAAAATCGTCTCAACAAGAAACAAATCGACACCTCCATCATAGAGACCCTCGATTTGGTCATAGTAGGAATCCACAATCTCGTCATATGTGATGTTTCTGTAGGCAGGGTTCTCCACAGAAGGAGATACACTCAGTGTCTTGTTTGTTGGACCAAGAGCACCTGCAACAAACTTCTGACTGCCCGGATGAGTCCTCATGTACTCCTCAGTGCATGACTTGGCCAACTTTGCAGCCGTTCTGTTAATGAAGTGGACCTCCTCCTTTGCGTCAAGCCCATAATCGCCCTGAGAGATGGACGTCCCATTGAATGTGTTGGTCTCGATGATGTCTGCCCCAGACTCCAAGTAGCCTTTGTGGATCTCTGCTATCACATCTGGCCTGGTTATCACCAAAACGTCATTGTTGCCCTGCAGCTCATGTCCATGGTTCTTGTACCGCTCTCCTTGAAAGTCTGCCTCCTGCAGCCGGTACCTCTGAATGCAAGTCCCCATCGCACCATCGATGTATGCAATGCGCTCTTGGAACAGTCGGTCTAACAAATCGAAAGTCTTGGTCTTGGGGACGGCATCCTGATGGGTTAAATATGCAGGAACTGGAGGAAGGTCCCTGCCCGGGGCGAGTGGGTCCAGGCCCCTGGGTATGGGATTCTCCCGAGGAGGTATGGCTGGCCCCGCAGATTCCTTAAGTTTCTTCACTGCCGTGGGTCTGCTTTTGGGATCCAGAGTAGCTGCATACGTGAGAAGCCTGTCTGTGGAGTCCTCGCGTCTGTTCAACAGGACATCCTCCACGTACTCCAGCAGCTCCCTGTCAATCTTTTCATACACATCGGCCTTGACCTGCACAGCGTTGACGATGCCCATGTCCATACCAGCATTGCAGGCATGATGGAGGAACGCACTATGGAACGCACGGCGCACAGGTTCGTTTCCCCGGAACGAGAAAGCCACGTTGGAAACGCCACCGCTGATTTTGCATCCTGGGCACAACCTCTTGATCTCCCTTGTGGCCCGAATGAAGTCCACTGCATAGTTGTTGTGCTCAGGCAGGCCCGTCCCAACAGTGAGGATGTTGGGGTCGAATATCACATCCTGGGGGTCGAACCCCACCTCCTCCACCAACATCTTGTATGCCCTACAACAGATCCGAACCTTGTCCTCATACGTGGCTGCCTGCCCCTGCTCATCAAAGGCCATCACCACCACAGCTGCACCATGTCGTTTCACCAACTTCGCCTGCTCCCTGAACTTCTCCTCTCCCTCTTTCAGGGAGATGGAGTTTACGATGCACTTGCCCTGGCTGCACTTGAGACCGGCTTCCACAATGAAAAATTTGGAGGAATCTATCATAAAGGGTACTCTGCAGGTCTCTGGGTCTGAAACCAACAGGTTCACAAACTTGGTCATCGCGGGAACGCCATCAATGAGCCCGTCATCTACATTGACATCCAGCAAGTCGGCTCCCTGCTCCACCTGTTTCAGACCTATGGCCTGGGCCTTCTCATACTCTCCAGCCACGATGGCCTTCTTAAATGCCATGGACCCAGCCACGTTGCACCTCTCCCCAATATTCAGAAACGTTTTACGCATGTTTTGCTCATCGGGCTTGTAGTTCAGAGGCTCCATGCCACTCAGACGCAGAATGGGATCAACAATGTGTTTTTCCCTGCGTGCGTACTTCTCTGCCATGCTCTTGATGGCCGCAATGTGCGGTGGTGTGGTTCCGCAGCAGCCCCCCAGTGCATTCACAATGCCCTGCTCACAGAAGGGACGTAGCTCCTCTGCCATCTCCTCTGGCTTCTGGTCATAACCCCCCATGGCATTGGGAAGCCCAGCATTGGGGTAACAGAACACATAACAGTCTGCGCATGCACTGAGATTGGTCACGTATGGTAGCATATCCGCTGCGCCAAGGGCACAGTTCAGACCCACTGCAAAGGGCTTGGCATGGTTGATGCTGCACCAGAAGGCCTCATTTGTCTGACCACTCAGAGTCCGCCCGGACTGGTCCACGATGGTGCCGCTTATCATCACTGGCAGCCTCACTCCCTTGTCTTCAAAGAATTTCTCCAGGGCAAAAATGGCAGCCTTGGAGTTCAATGTGTCAAAAATCGTCTCAACAAGAAACAAGTCAACTCCCCCGTCGTACAGCCCTTCAATTTGGTCGTAATATGAGTCCACGACCTCGTCGTATGTGATGTTTCTGTAGGCAGGATTCTCTACAGAAGGAGATACGCTCAATGTCTTGTTCGTGGGGCCCAATGCCCCAGCAACGAATTTCTCACTTCCAGGATGGGCCTTCATGTACTCCTCGCTGCACGACTTGGCCAGCTTCGCGGCCGTTTTGTTGATGAAGAGAACTTCCTCCTTTGTGTCCAGGCCATAATCCCCTTGAGAAATGGACGTCCCATTGAACGTGTTGGTCTCGATAATGTCCGCCCCCGCCTCCAGGTACCCCTTGTGGATCTCCGCTATCACATCTGGCCTGGTTATCACAAGAACGTCATTGTTGCCCTGCAGCTCATGTCCATGGTTCTTGTACCGTTCCCCTCGAAAATCCGCCTCCTGCAGCCGGTACCTCTGAATGCAGGTGCCCATTGCGCCATCTATGTACGCGATCCTGTCCTGGAACAGGCGTTCCAAGCGAGCAAAGGCGGGCGAGACCCGCAACGTCTCCCTGAATGACTTGTACTCTGGCACGGGGGCGGGCTCCGCCTCTGGCGCCAGTTGGTTGGCGCCTGCCATGGTGTGTGCTGGGGAGTGCAGGAACCGCCAGGACGGAGTGTATTCTAAGTACTGAAAAGCGATGACGAAAGCATTTTTGGGCAATTAGGGCTGATTATGTGTGGAGAGCAACAGGCGCACGTGTTCCTCCCCGCAACGCAGACCGCGACACAGCAACGATTGCCCAACAGCATCAGGTTAATGACCGCTTCTATTTCGCGCACTTTCATACTGGGTTGTGCACCGAAGACAATGCCATGGGGAGACCCATTGCACATTTGGCATTGGCTCAAGTCCGACTTGAGCCAACGCAGTGGTCACTTACTTGAACATTGAGGCAATCGTAATTGGCCGAAAGTGCCGCCCTGCCAGAAACCAATGTGTTCTAGCCATGGGCGAGCGTCGTATCACTGAGCACCCGCCTACTCTTGGCAGTAATTCCATGGACTAGTGAAGGTCAAAAAGGCACGACAACCAAACCTTTCTGCATAAAGACGATGATGTGCACAAAGCACGAAGCAATGTATGTTCAATCCACTGGGTGCATGTTTCACGCGCTATCATGTTGTAAGCTTGGAGCAACGATTGTGACATTTGCGTTGCGCATACCGTCTATTGTACTGCCACGTTTTCGACACATTTGTTCTGTTCCTAGTAGAAACACAGTAGCATGTATCGTGCTGACCGTTCGCGCTCGGCACACACTCGGTCGCTGCCAGGCAGGGGAAGCGAGGTGATAACCAGATGCACTATAGGATGAACATACCAACTGAATAACAGTGATTGCAGGAATGTTCATGTCCCGTCTCCATGGTCCCCACATACATTTCGCCCCCAACATACCATGTTCACCGTAACCATTTTTCACCATAGATCACCATATCCCACATAATCACTTGTCCATTGTTTTCCCGCCCTTACACATGAATTTCTGCCATTGAGACATGTCCAATTTCGCCAAAAAGCACCCCCACAGGACTGCATTAAACAAGTCTCCACCAAGCTTTTGTCCATTTATCCACATAGCGATACGGGACAATGTGCACCAGTGCAGGTTGCCATGGGCAAGCCGATTTTAAGTTGTGTTCGCTGATCCATATCGGCGGGGCAGGATCAGAAGAGAGGTGGCGGACGATGCACAAACTAGTTTATTGTTGGCTCAAGGATTCGAGATTCATGAATGTCATATCTTTGCACCGTCAGTTGATCAATTGTTCTGGATATTGACCCAAGGACATAAGCTTTAGGATCCTTAGGGAAAGTCTTCGAATAGTTTGGAATGGTTGCAAGGAGCCGCAAAGCCACTGAAAGACACTTCAAGGACCAATTCGGGTCGTAGTTTGTGTTGTGCTGATGAGTTCCTTGTAACGCAACCTGATGGGAATGCAATCGACCTCGTGGTTCACAACCTTGTAAAGTGTAGACGGAAGAGCAAATTTGGTCGGATCCCTCTCGTGAAATGGATGCACACGGTACATCAAGTGTACCACGTGTGATGATCCATCCTTGTCTGGAGCATGTGTACTTTGGACTTGCGAGTATGGGTGTCCACCAACGCCAAAACCCGCCCAATCCATGAGTCGGTGATCAAAAGAGTCCAATCACGCCTTAGTTCATAATGTGCGCCCGATCGCCAATTGCTTGAACCATCAAACTCCCCCGTGCACACAAGAAGCCCCTACGAGCAAAAATGAAAAAAATGCAGAGCCATCTCCACAAACCCAAATTCCTAGAAAAAAACGTTTAGAAAACAAGCGAATGTCCAGAAGGCTCGAGCGCTTGACCGACTGCTGCGAACGAAATACCAGATTCCTGAGAGAGCACATCATGCACCAATGTCCCAGGCGCCCGCTTGGGGCACAAACATCTCACCCTGCGCCGCTTTCGCTTTTTTCGCCCCCGCATTTTTTACACCGCCCTCATGACCCCGTACACCAGCTTGCCCATCGGGAAGGCCACATCCTTCCGCCACACCGCCTCCAGGCCTGCCTCGCGCATGGCCTGCCCCGGGAAGGGCCTTGTATTGTCGCAGCCGCAGGCGAGGAACCCGTTCAAGGGGTTCGTGAGGTGCGCCAACGCGCGACCGAGGGACGACCCGCCCTCCGCCGCCGGCACGTAGCAGTGCTCGAAGCTCGCAAACGTGCCGCCCGGCCGCAGCACGCGCGCGACCTCCTTCAGAAAGCCCGGCGGGTCCGCCACGGTGCAGAGGATCAGCGTGGACACCACCACGTCGAAAGTCCCGTCGGGGAAGGGCAGCGATTGGCCATCCCCTTGCGTGTGGTCCAGGGTCATGCCGCGCCTGGCCGCCTTGGCCGCGGCGTGGCGCGAGGGCGCGGCGTCCATCGTCACGGTGGCGATCGACGTCACGCCCGCGGGGTAGTGCGGCACGTTCAGGCCCGAGCCCATGCCCACTTCTAGGATCCTGTCGGTGGGCGTCAGGTCGCGGAGAATCTCGGACCGGATCGACCTGAACTTGTCGCTCTCAAGGAAGTCAGCCACGGGCTCGAAGCACGTCTGCTCCCACCACGCCGGCGGCCAGAGGGGCATCTTGACCTGGTCCGTTGAAACCCAGGGGGCTCTGTTTGTTTTGTAGCCAGCGGTTGCCGCTCCGGAGTTTGCAGGGCTTCTTCAGGTGGGGAGAGGCTCGCCCCTTCAGAACAGCTGGCGCTGACCAAGGTGCCGAAGTACACGCACTCCTACCACTACTAAAATGTATGCCACGCAGATATCAGCTGCACGCTTCCCAATCTCCCTGCGTCAGTTATGTAATCCTGGATGGAAGGTTGGCTCCTGTTGGGCAGCGGGGCGTCGGCGACCCCTGCCTGGGTAACGGGAGGCGTGCACATGCAGGGACGAATCTGACACGAAGCTATCGCCTGGGCATACAACCTGGGTTATGTGATGGGCATCCCTGCACAATGCGAGTTTGGGGCTTTTGCCAACCGTCCTTGTGGCCGAACGTTCGAAAAGCTAGCAACCTCACGTTGATTCCATGCAATCAGGTGGGGGGCTTTCAATCCAGGCTTCTCAGCAGCGCACCATTTACTTCACCCTTGAAAACTGGCCCCCAACATCTACCCACGCTCAATACCCAACACCCTCAAAGCCTGGCCCTCCCTATCTGATCAACCTCTATTCCCGCAGACCACGCCTATCGTAGACAATGTCTTCCCCTTCAGGCTGTCATGTTTATCACCTTGTTGACATCCCCTAAGGAGCTTTGTTTGTGCAGTGGCGACCTAAACGCAGCACAGCGATTGGAAAGCTGACACAACGTTTAGATCACAAAATCGGTCCGTTGACAGAGTAAACGTTTGGTTTCAAAGATGTGCCATGCGCTTTTGTGCGTATGCGGTACATATTCAGATATAAAATGGACCAGTTTTTGCAAAGCGAGACACAGTCTCCAGGTCCAAACCTGGGAGGAGGATACGTGCTCCACACAGACTTGCGATTCCCAGAATTTCTATGGCACGACCATATTTGGTACGGTTTGGCCATACAGGGAACACGTGCTGCTGTACAGCAGGCTGTTTGACCCTGTTTTTCTGTGTATGGATAAGGCGTACATGGCACTGACACAATAGTTGCATTGGCCGAGTTCTAGTGGAGATTGATACGGTGATGTGCACTGCTCCGTATCAAGTATGGGCGACTTCCGTACCGGGTACGAGTGAATTATGTACCATGCACTGGTGAATTCCGTACCTGATACGGTTTATTTTCGTGCCATATGACTCACATTGAGTACGTCAGCACCGCTAAACATAGTCACAACTTGTAGCTACACTTGAAAATTGTATCAATTCATTTTGTGAGCATGGTCGGCTATATTGAACCCACCATGCCCATCAAAGACTCATTCGGCACGTTTTCTATTTCCTCTGTTGAAATTTGCGAATGAATGCGGATGTTTGAGAGATCCCATTGCAGGTGGGACGCAAATTGCATCACGAAATATTTGCTTTCCTTTAATTAATTCGAAAATAGATCACTGATTTTCATTGTATTAAATGTCCCCAGATTGTTTTCCTCGCACGTGCGAGCCCACACTGTGCATGCATGGGGATATAGCATTGCAAACAGCACCCATCCAAGGTGCCAGAAATGATCATTTCAGCCACGCCGCCATGAAGACAAATTCCGGAAGATGTGGCACAGCTTTTGCGCCATCACCTACGTTGATATCGGGCCAAGTTTAAACAAGAAATTTCTTGTGCAATACGTGCTGCAGTGACCTTGTGTTGAAGCAAGCTGATCGCGCTGCGGCAATGGAAGATTTCAGATGATGATTCCTATCTCACTCTTCTGTCTCTTTGTTGTGGATCTGATGATGAATCTTTCGCTTAAGTATTTTGCGCCATTTCAGCGACTTGGACAATCTACACTGAACTCATGCATGATGCCGACACCTCTGATGTGCAAGCTACATGGCTGCCTGGGATTAACTTGGCTCGATGACGCAAGACACAACAACCATCGTTACTTCCTACGTAACATGAACAAAATATCACTCCAAATGCGCGCGTGCCACGCTGGCTTTCCTATTACATCTGCGAGATTGGCTGCATGGTTTGCTCGCATTTAGAGTAATTGCAATACGCAACGGCTGTAACCAGGACTCCTGGTCCAGGAGTGCCGACGCGTTGAGTGGGAATGACAATTTTCAAAGATCTGGAGCTACACAAAATGGTGGAAGTGGACAGAAAGGGGCGAGGGCTGGGGGGTGAGGGAGTTGGGGGTGGGTGAGGGCACTGGCTACGCAACTTTTTGGCCCTTCCTTGTTCAGCCGCTACACAGAACGCGACGGTCCTGTGTAGTAATAACGAGTAAAAACGTGTTGAGTGGCACAGTGACGGCAAAATTTTGGACTCATTGAAAGTGCCCCAGTGGCTTGTGCATCTGTGCTTCACGTTCATGTATTTGCGGGCACCATTAACGGGCTAAGCACCCACCGCTCAGACAGGCGTTGGCCACTCTCACTCGCATTGCATGCACCCCAACGCAAACAAATATTGGCACATTCGGGCCGCTTCCCAGTCTACACGCAAAGACCGCTTGTTGATCACGAATCGGCCCTCCTAAACTGCACACTTCACCGCCCACGGCTGACCGCTCCCACCCAGTGCTGGTGCTTGGGGGCGAGCGTGGACTTGACCAAAGGAAACGCCTTCGCCCCGCTCCCAATGCCTACCATCTTGGTGTCCTACTCCAGGTGTAGGGCAGCAGAAGGCACAGGACCTGTGGCCTCCGGCCGTGATGCCGAGGAGTGAATTCCTAGAAAGTGATGCCAAGACTTCCAATTGCCGAAACATTGAACAGAATTACGGTGCCCTGACACAGTTGTGACGCGTCTTGGGTACTGATGGGATGCACGCTCGTCATCGTCTGGGCGCTGAAGGTGTGGGAACGTCCCGGGACACCCCCGCACAAAAGGGGGGCCTCCACTGCGCCATGGTGATGTCATGAGGTGCGCAGGGGTGCGCGACCTGCGGCCATGGACCTGCTACACACCCTGGGCGTCTCTGCCCACAGCGCCGAGAAGCTCGAGGAGCGGCTCCTGCAGGAGGTGTGGCCCTCCCCAGGCCTGAAACAAGCCAAGCACGAAAATCGCGCGTGAACGCGACGCTGTCTCAGAGGGGGGGTTCAGCCGCTCAGGAGCCGATGCTGTTGGGCGAGAAACCACGGAGAATGGCAAACGAGTTGCGCGTTCACGCGCAGCACGTTCTAAGAGTGGGATGCTTGGCGTTGGCCTGTTCCTGAAGCAACTCCTCCAGGGCACACAGTTTTGCGTTGCCTCCCCCGATGGTTCGCAAATGCCTGTCAAAAGGGTGTTTGTGGGACGTTGGAAGGCCATGCACTTCATGATTCCCAAGTTCTGGCAACGAGGTTGTTGGGCCAGTAAATTGCTTGTGTTTTGACTTGCCGCTGTAGTCACCGCATTTAGATCAAGTGAGAAGGTGATTGCATAGGCAACTAGGCGTGTTTCTGCTCTGCGCGTCGCCAGATGTGGCAGTTTGTGAGCACAAAGCAGTTCCCTTGATGGTGCAACAATACTGCTCATAGGCACAACATCGACTTGCAGAAGAAGATGAACACAGGCCAGAAGGTATGCACCTGACTTCTTGTTGATGGAGATAAATGATGTGCACCATTAATCCAGGCAGAAATGCATAAATCTGAACATCTGTCAGCAAACTTGCATTGCGTCATTTTTAGAGCCACAAAAGTTCCCTTGTGAAAGTGATTTATGGGGAGTGGGTGCAATATAAGTAACTAGGAAATGTGGAGTGTCAGTTGTCTCGGTCTGTACCTTGTTTTGTTTTAAGAATTTGATTTGTGTGACTTTGTGCATGTGCCAATATTGGGGCACACAACGGTCAACACAGATGCTTGACAGTTCTGAAACCCTGTAAGCTGAACAACAACATCAGTCCACAAGGTTTTTTCTGCATGCACCACAGGTCAGCCTTTTGGTTGTTGTGTATGTTGTTGCCAGGTCTGCTTTTAACACTCTACAAAATGTCGATTTAGATGCTCGTGCCAAATGTTGCCAGAGCAATTTCTTTGCCTGCACCAAAATTGTCATGAAAATCATAACAGAGAATTGAAGCGGCAGATATGTGTGATGGGGAGGTGACAAGGGGAAGGATGACGAATCAGCACTACAACAGCATCTTTGTGCTGTGGAATTGGAGATAGAAGGAGTGGAGGCCGCCCTCCTTGCAGAAGAGCCTGACGATGAGGAAGGTTTGGATCACAAGGTACCGTGATATCACCCTTTTTCAGGCAATATGCTACTCTTGTGTTGCTTTAGTGATGCAGATTGTAGCTCAAACGCCCGGTGTGCTTCACCAATTGTGAGCCCCTTAGCTCTTGCTGCCTCAGAGACTGCCATGTGTCTCTCGTGCACAGGCACATTAAATGCAGCAAGCACAGTATTTGACAGGTACTGGAGGCCTTGGAAATTGTAGACTGTGTGTGTTCACAGACTGCGATGGCAACATCCACAGAGACATATAAACTTTGCAGTTGGGAAGAAAGCTTGCCAAACCTGCTGAGGATGGGTATTACCCATTGCCTGTCATATTTGTTGTTTGTTGAAGCCTCTTCAAGGTGGAAGGGCAGGTGTTTGTCACATTTTGATGCAAGGAATTTAAGGCGTGACCATATCGCCTTGACTGGAGAGCTTGCCATGTTCAGGAGAGCAGCACCTCAGGCAGTGCTTCTGAAGGGACACGTCGAAGGTGGGGCACTTCCTGGTCTGTTGCCCATTGTTGCCCTCTGTCTTTCTGCACGTCTTTGCTGCCAGGGGGAGGTGGCAAACAACAAGTTTACAATAGCCAGCTCCTGGCAAACACTGCCCCTGCGGCTTGCAAGGCGCAGATGGACATGATTCTGCAACAGTATGGTTTCAAGGCCTTTGGTCGTGTCCCTTGGTCTGACATTTTGCTTGGAAGGGGCGTGGGGAAGGGGGAGTGCTGCTGGGTCAATTACCAGCAAGGATCTTGTGCTCCTTTGTTCCCAACCTGATGCATTCTTCCCCC